GTGTTCTTCCCTCTGTCTGTACCACAGACTTCCTCCTTGCCCACCTGGTGGATCCCCCTTGTCCATCGTCCAAATCTGCTCAACACCTCCTCCTGCATGAAGCCCTCCCTATCCCCCAAGTAGAAATGCCCGTTCTTTTTCTTTAGTGCCTCAAGTGTGTCTCAGACCTGCTTCCTTCTAGTATCTGTAGCCCCTTACTGAATTAATTCTAAGTCCAAGACACATTCATCTCTACCGCTGGACACAGGCATGCAACATATATCTGATGCTAGCATGGCTAATGAAGGGAGCAATAAATGAAAAAGATGATCTTTTTCCAGATCGGAGAGGCAGAAGCATCCCTAACCCCGCGGACTCCTGACCACCTATGCAGAGCAGGTAATTCCTTCTGCCTAAGGACGCTGAAGAACATGAGGGCAACTGTAAAGGGAAGGGATTGAGACCCATTCTGCCAGGCTGCAGGTGATGGGATTAGAAGCGTGCTTTCTAACTAATGATGGTGACAACAGTAATCATTATTATACTGATAGTATAAATAGTAGTTAATATTTATTGAGCACTACCTCTGTACCACGTGAAGCACATATAGGGCTTTACGTGTACAAAGGGACAACAGCTCTCACACACAGATTCTACTATTATCCCTGTTAACATTTGAGAAGAAAGTGTCTCAACGAGGTTAAGTGACTTGCCCAACATCACAAAGTAAATGGCAGATCTAGCATTCAAACCCAGGGATCTAGCTGCACTCTCTATGAGGCATTCTAAAATGTCTGCACTGTCTAAAAGGCATTGACTATGGCCTTTGTGAGCCAATAATGGGGGCTATTATATACATATTTACAATATATGCATGATATAAACATGTCATTTGAATTCAGAAAATGAATCCCCATCTGATTGATATGTGAGTGGAAATAAGACTTGTATCTTGATAACAACTGCTACTGTTCTAAAAACAGGCAAACTGTGCATTTCAATCAATCAGCTAATAACTAACCTGTATTTATAAAAGATTTAATTTAGGGGCCAGTGCTGTGGCATGGTGGGTAAAGCCGCCACCTGCAGTACCAGCATCCCATATGGGTGCCAGTTTGAGTCCTGGCTGCTCCACTTCCTATTCAGCTCTCTGCTATGGCCTGGGAAAGCAGCAAAAGGTGACCCAATGCTAAGGAACCTATACACATGTGGGAGACCCAGAAGAAGCTCCTGGCTCCTGGCTTTGGATCAGTGCAGCTCTGGCCGTTGTGGCCAATTAGGGGAAGACCTCTCTCTCTCTCTCTTTCTCTCTCTCTCTGCCCCTCCTTCTCTCTGTGTAACTCTTTCAAATAAAATAAATAAATCTTTTAAAAAAAGATTTAATTTATTTGAAAGCCAAAGTGACAGAGAGAGGGTAAGACAGAGATCATCCTTCTGCTGATTCACTCCCTAAATGCCTACAATAGCTTGGGGCTCAGCCAGGCTGAAGCCAGGAGCCCAGAGCGCCATTCTGGTCTCCCATGTGTGTTGCAGAGATATCATGTTCTGCCTTCCCAGGTGTGTTAGCAGGGGGCTCCATTGGAAGTGGAGTAACTGTGACCCGAATTGGTGCTTGGCCATAGCAGCAGCTTAACCTGCTGCAGCACAATGCCCCCATAACCAACCCACTCAACAAGGGCCTGCTGTGTGCTTAGTTGCAAACAAGGAATTTAAGACATGGCCTATTCTTTCAATGAGCTTACAAGGTAAAACTGTAATATCATGACATTATTTTTAAAAATAATTCTATTTATTTGAAAGGAAAGGCAGAGAGAGAGAGAGAGAGAGAGAGAGAGAGAGAATGCAATCCAGGTCCTCAACCTGCTGCCTCCCGGGATGCGCATAAGCAAGAGGCTGGAATTGAGAATGGAGTCGGCACTGAACTCAGGCACTCCAATACAGGAAGTGGTGTCCCGAGCAGATTCTTAACCACTAGGGCAAATGTCTGCCCCACAACATTACTTTGAAAGTATACTGAGAACTATACATCTAGGTAAGTCATCCACTTCTCAAACTGACTTTGGAAATGATTTATGACACACCAAGAATAGATTTCACTACTTTAAGCTCACAGTTTATTTTTTATCCCAAACAGTGTTATCCATCCTAATTAACCTTTTATTTGACACTTGGTTAGTTCTACAAATCTACTCTGTCCTCAAAGGAGGAGACTTTGCTACCACTGTGTGTAGATGTTGTCTATGAATGTGAACACTCACGTAGACAGATGCACAGACACACACCCACGGAGCCTGTGGTTTACCAGGGCAATACCCAAAGGACTGGACAAAATCAGTGCTCCCAAAAGGAATATAATAGGAGCCAGATATGTAAAGACAATTTTCTAGTGGCCACATTTTTTTCATTATCACTAACATTACTTGAAGGTAACTTTTTGGGTTTTGTGACAAGTCATGAAAAATTTTTCAAATCTCTCCATTTGTCAAAATTAAATTCATATATTTCAAGACAATTTTATGTTTTTCTTTCCATTCTAGTAGCTACATTTTCAAAAGTGAAACAGGTAAATTTTTAATAATATATTCTTAAGCTTAATCTAATGTCAGGGGTTGGTGCCGTGGCTCACTTGGTTAATCTTCCGCCTGTGGCACCGGCATCCATGTGGGCGCCGGGTTCTAGTCCCTGTTGCTCCTCTTCCAGTCCAGCTCTCTGCTGTGGCCCTGGAGGGCAGTGGAGGATGGCCCAAGTACTTGGGTTCCTGTACCCGCATGGGAGACCAGGAAGAGGCACCAGTCTCCTGGCTTTGGATCAACACAGCGCCGGCCGTAGCGGCCATTTGGGGAGTGAACCAGTGGAAGGAAGACCTTTCTCTCTATCTCTCTCCCTCACTGCCTATATTTAATAAAAGAAAAAAAAATCTAATGTCAAAATATTAACATTCCATTATATAATCAGTATAAAAGTTTCAAGAACTTTTACTTTTTTCATATTAAGTCTTTGAAATCCGGTGCGTATGTGTACACATACATACTTTAAGATTTATTAATTTATTTGAAAGGCAGAGTTACACATAGAGGGACAGAAAGAGCATGAGATTTTCCATCTGCTGGTTCACTCCTCAAATGGCTGTAATGGGTCTCCCACATGGGTGGTGGGGGCCCAAGGACTGGGCTATCCTTTGCTGCTTTCCCAGGCACATAAGCAGGGAGCTGGATTGAAGTAGAGCAGCTGGGACTCAAAAGAGTGAGTGCCCATATGGCTTAACCCACTGTACTACAACACTGGCCCCAATCTAGTGCACATTTTCTACTTACAGCACATCTCAATTTGGACCAGTCACATGCTAAGATCCATGGATGGCAACTGGCTGCCATACTAGACAGAGCAGGACAAAACAGCTATGGCAGTCCTACTAGAAGAAGGGGCTTTGTGCCCCATTCCCCTCATGCCTTACTCTGCAAAGCAAAGAGGAGCAATACACTGATAAAGTTCAGTTTGGAAGAAAGGATGTTTCAAAAAAGCCAAAGCCATCCTCATGGAGCCCAGCTCATCAACAGAGGATAGACGTTGTGGGAGAGAGAAGGTACTTTACATTTAAGGATAACCCAGAATGGTAGTACTAAATAAGCTAGGAACTCCATTCCAACAGACTAATGATTACAGTCAACCACAGAACTCTGAGGAGCCCAGCGAATTCTGTCACGGCCAAGGCCCTTTTAGGTATGGATGCAGGGAATAATACTAAACCACGTGGAATGTTGCAGCTGAAATACAGAAACGGTGAAAGTCTAAGACAACCTATGCAGCAGTGTCTACTTTATCATCTCTAGACCCCAGGCACTCCACTGCAAAGTGGCTACAGCTCAGGCCCCTGATAGCCAGGGGAACCTGCAATTTATGGTGCAAACTTGGATACTCTCCAGAGTAAAAGGGGGCACCATTAATAATGACGCTGGGATAAAAGGCATAAACTGGGACTGTTTATAGCTATAAAGTTATACGATCCTATTCTACCAAACGGATGCAACAGCTCTGCCTCTCCAGGGACCCGGAGCTGGTGAAAGTCTAGCATATTCTTATTATCCCTGCATGGCCACAGGGGCTTTGTGGGCTAACACACAACGATCTGGGTGAGATGGTTTCGCACCCCTGCCCCCCGCCCCCTGCAAAGCAGTTCAAATTGGTTTGAATTTGGGAACGGGGTTCCATATGGACAGAGCTGGACGTTGACAGCCTGAACGTATTTACTGAAGACAACAAATCACTGACAGACTAAATGTAACAGAGGAATGGCCTGGCCTGCTTGTACTCAGAATCCGACTTTGTAATTGTAGCCTCCTTTAGACAGGCCTAATCAATTAGAAGAGGCTGATTTTAACCAGTTGCAGGCTCATTACCCTGCATTCCAGTTTGTGTTGATGAAAATCAGTTTCAGTCTGTGGCCTGGAACTCATGTACAGCACTTCCTGCGGCCTCTTATATAAACACATCAAAAAAATTTTTATTTGGAGTTGCCCTTCTACCTTAAAACAAAAACAAAAAAACACCCACTTTGTGACTCATGATCAAAATAGAGCAGTTGTAAGGGGAGCTGGGGCCCATCTTCAGAAACATACACGACCAGGACCCACGTATGAAGCTGCAGCTGGAGGTGGATCTGAAGAGCGCCTCCAGCACCGAATCCATACAACAGAGCAGTACGGATCCTCAGTTACCGAGTGAGGAGCTTTCCAAGGAAATGCATAAGAGGAGCAAGTCAAGGTCTCAGAAATGCAGAGGATGTCCGATTACAGCTCCGTCTCTTCCCTGGATGACCAACAGAATCAAACGGGAGAGCGCCAAGTACACAGGGACACGTTTCCTTGAGAAGCTTCTCTGAGGACCCACGTGACAGTCGGTCTAATTCGGATGTGAGGCTGTTCTTATAAAAGAAGTCGGGGGAGCCTGTGGTGGGGCTGTGCAAAGCCCCACCTCCATTTCCAAGACCTGCAACCACTCCAGAATAGCACTGTGAATCATACCTGGCTGCTGGCCCTGTGTGGGTTTGTCGAGGCAGCAAGTCAACAGGAAGAGAATATCAATATACACGGCTCTGGTCACCAAACATGGGTTTTGCCTAGAAAGGTAAGGAACAGAAAATCAATCCACAGGAAGGAGAAAATAGGCATTTTCCAGGCAGGCAAATTATGAGCCTTTGGCAGTTACGACCAATACTAAAAAAGATGGATGGTCATGGATGGCAGGAAAGCCAGCAACTCGAGAGAGACAGAAACCTCACTGTGCATGGTGGAGGCCAGGGGCCACGTGTGGACAAAGCAGACACAACTCTGCTCCAGCTCTGAATGGGAGACATGGGAACGGAGATCCTCCCCGGTTAGTTGAAAACAAGGTGGGGTGGGGGAGCCCATATTTTAATGTTCCCTTCTTATGTGATGAAAATCTGGGGAAGAAACATTGGTCATGAACATTGTTAGCATTTTGGAGAAAGAAAATGCATCCATATATGGAAAACTGCATCTGCAGACTTAACCAACGGAACAACAAACACACACAGAGTAAGAAACACTGGGGCTCACATCCTCTTCCCAGTAAGCGATATGTTTTCTTCATTCAGTGAACCAAGCAGCTTATTCTACTCTTTGAATCACGTGGCGGAAAGAGTGAGTGGGCTGGAATCTGGGGGTCTGCACACAAAAGGAAGAACTCAAGGCCTTTCATACAAGGACACAGCTGAAGGGGCCTGGCCCTGAGTCTCAGTTCATATCGACCATGAAAGGGGCTAATCTTGCTGGCGGGTTAGTAACCCAGCAGGGCAGGAAAACCAGAGGGACAGGCCCGGGTCTGAGTGCTGGCTTTGTCACCTGTTACCTCTGTGTCCCGAACCAGATTCCTGACCTGTAACGTGGGACCTACCCGGTCACCCTGCTGTGAATCGCTATGCGAGTTCAGAGAGGCACAGCCCACTGGAAAGGCACCTCTGGGGGCCTGCCCAGGGCAGAGGCTGTAGAAGCGCTCCTCCCGGGCCTCCTCGACTTCCCCCATCAGACCGGGTGTGGCACTGAAACCAGCGCGAGTGTTCTGGCTGTGGCTGTTCACATGGCTCCATCCGTAAACCCACCCTTCTCATTCCCCGAACACCAACAGTTTCATCATTCTCCAAAGCTCAGTCCCACCTCTGTCCTGGACTGCCCATTTCCTAGAACGGAGGCCCCAACAAGAAAAGTGTGGATTCTTTTGATCTGAAGCAAAACTCTCTAGTGTCAAGATCTCTGTGTAGCTGACCTGTCCCACGTCAGCCCCTTAGACTTGCTTCGCCTACGGGATATGCTCACTCTGACTACCGAGTGAACTGCGTCTTCATGAGTATACCTTGGGTCTGGCCCAACTTCGTACCTATGCCTAGCTACTTTTTTTTTTTTAAAGATTTATTTTAAAGATTTTATTTTTTTAAAGATTTACTTGAAAGTCAGAGTTACACAGAGAGAAAAGGAGAGCAGAGGGAGAGAGAGAAGGGTCTTCTGTCTGCTGGTTCACTCCCCAGTTGGCCGCAATGGCTGGAGCTGTGCTGATCCGAAGCCAGGAGCCAGGAGCTTCCTCCAGGTCTCCCACATGGACGCAGGGGCCCAAGGACTTGGGCCATCTTCTACTGCTTTCCCAGGCCATAGCAGAGAGCTGGATTGAAAATGGAGCAGCCAGGGCTCAAACTGGCATCTACATGGGATGCCAGCACTGCAGGTGGCAGCTTTACCCAGTCTGCCACAGCGCCAGCCCCTATGCCTAGCTACTTTTAAAAATAATTTTAGGGGCTGGTGCTGTGGTGTAGCGAGTAAAGCTGCCACCTACAGTACCAGCATCCCACATGGGCACTGGTTTGTGTCCTGGCTGCTCCACTTCCGATTCAGCTCTCTGCTACGGCCTAGGAAAGCAGAAGATGGCCCAAGTCCTTTGGCCCCTGCACCCGTGTGAGAGACCCTGAAGAGGCTCCTGGTACCTGGCTTTGGATCGGTGCAGCTCCAGCTATTGTGGCAATCTGGGGAGTGAACCAGTAGATGGAAGACCTCTTTCTCTCTCCCTCTCTCTCTGCCTCTGCGTCTCTGTAACTCTGCCTTTCAAATAAATAATAACTTAAAATAAAAATAAAAATATTTTTAAAAAGGTAACATACATGGTACAAAAATAATCCAAGCAGTACAAAAGGGCATGCAGTGACAATGAAGTCTCTTTCCTGCCCAGTCCGTTTCTCCAGGGCTGCCATCACTACAAGAACTGCTTTCTACTATACCCTTCTGGGTACAATCTTTTCATCTAGTAGCATCTACCTCTGGCTACCCAGTTGCATAAATGGTGGTTTACTATGTACTGCATTCTGAGCATGACACTTTCCCATCGATAGATTCTGGATACCACTGAGTCCAGTACATAGCGTTTTACTGCATTTTCTTAACAGGTATTAACTGTTCCATTTCATAGTTGTACCCGTCCCCAATTGACAAAATTCAGATTGTTTAAGACACTTTTGCTTTCAAAAACAGTGCTGTAAGAAACATAGTTCTCATCAGTTTTGTGCATATTGATGTGTACTCAGGTAAAATTCCAAGAAGCTCAATCGCTGAATCATGGTATTTGCACTTTTCAATTTTTCATTGACTTTGACAAGATGTACTCCAGAGGTTGTACCAGTTTATATCTCCACCAAAAGTGTCTAAGAATTCCAGTTTCCCTGAGACCTGAAACTGACACAAATGTCAAACTTTCTGACCTTCACCAAGATGGTAAGTACAAAATAGTATCTTGGGGCTGGCAACAGGTTAAACTGCTGCTTGCCATACCCTAGCAATGGTTCAAATTCTGGCTACTCTGCTTCCAACCTAGCTCCCTGCTGCCTGGGAAAGCAGAAGATGGCTCTGGTATTTGGGCACCTGTCACTCACATGGGAAACTGGGATGGAATTCCTGGCTCCTGGTTTCAGCTTGGCCCAGTTCCAGCCATTGAGGTCATTTTGGGTAGTAAACCAGAGAATAGAAGATCTCTCTTTTCTCTCTGTCACTCTGCCTTTCAAATAAATCTTTAAAAAAAAAAACCTTATCATTTAAAATTGCAATTATATTAACAGTGAGGCATGCTTTTTAAAAAAGTTTATTTTGGCATGGGAGTTGCGGCACAGCAGTTCAGGCCGCCACCTAGGACACCTGCATCCTATATCAGAGTGCCTGGAATGCAGTCCCATCTCCACTTCCAATCCATCTTCCTGCTAATGCACCTGGGAGGCAGCAGACGATGGTTCAAGTACTTGGGTTCCTGCCACCCACATGGGAAATGCAGATGGAGTTACTGGCTCCTGACTTTTGGTCTGGCCCAGCCTTAGCTTTGTAGGCATTTGGGGAGTGAATCAGCAGACGGAAGATTTTCCTTCTTTCTCTGTCTCTCCAAATCTGTCACTCTGCTTTTTTAAATCAATAAAAAAAAAAAAAAGATATTTCAATTTTCTATTCTGTGAACTGTGTTCAAATCTGTTGTTGGTCTTTTCCATACCAATTTGTAGTCTCTCCTTTTTTTTTTTTTTTAAAGTTTATTTATTTGAAAGGCAGAGTAACAGAAAGAGAAAGAGAGAGAGAGAGAGAGAGATCTGCCATTTGCCGCTTCACTCCCCAAATGCCTGCAACAGCCAGAGTTTGGTCAGGCTGACGTCAGGAACTAGAAACTCCATTTGGGTCTCCTATAAGGGTAGCAGGAATGCTAGTAGTTGAGCCATCATCCACTGCTTTCCAGGTACATTAGAAGGGAGCTGGATTGGAAGCAGAGCTGCTGGGACTTGAACTGGACCCAATATGAGATGAAGGCATCCCATGCAATGGCTTAAAATACTATGGTACGATGCCTTCCCCCATATATCTTTTGAATAATATTTTTTGCAATTTAGAAATGTTTAGTTCTATATAAATACTTTAATATTTTTATGTCTTCTGGGTTTTATGTCATACTTACAAAGTCCAACTCCCCTCTAAGATTTTATTTCTCATATTTTCTTCCTTTTTTTTTTTTTTTAAAGATCTATTTATTTATTTGAGAGGCAGAGTTGCAGATAGAGAGAGGGAAATACTGAGAGAGTAAACCATCCCCTGGTTCACTCCCCAAATGGCTGCAACAGCTGGAGCTGTGCTGATCTGAAGCCAGAAGCCAGGCGCTTCCTCCAGGTCTCCCATTTGGGTACAGGGGCCCAAGCACTTGGGCCATCTTCTCCTGCCTTGCCAGGCCATAGCAGAGAGTTGGAGGAGCAGCTGGGACATGAACCGGCGCCCGTAAGGGATGCCAGCACCGCAGGCAGCATGCCACAGTGCTGGCCCCTCATATTTTGTTTCTTCAAAATTCCATTTCATGTTTAAACTTTTATCTATTTGATATATGTTTTGCTTTTTAATTTATTATTTTTAACATAACTTCCTGTTGTGACTCTTCCATCCACAATGGAAAGCCCCACAGTCTACAAAAACTTCTATAATGATATCATTCCCCATTCCAGGACTTCCACTGTTTAACAAAATTGAGAGCTCCCCTTGCCAAAGAAAGGGCCATTCATGGAAGGCTGAGGGCTGGCCCTGGGGCAGAGACATCACTGTGTGGCAGGCCATCCAGCACAGGGCTGGGCACATGGCCCAGGACAGCAGACCAAGTGCCTCCTGTGCATCCAGCTTTAACCTAGGTGTGGGGAGGAGATGATGACATACTTCCAAGAATTCTGTCTAGGTACAAAGGAAAAAACAAAAGTCAAGCTTTGGAACAGGATGTAGGAGTTAAGAAAAAAACCATTAGGGTAGACTGGAGAAATGGAGATGTAATTCCACTGGGCAATGTCAGATGGGAGAGTCTAACGCACAAAGCCCATCAGGGAAGGTATCTTGAGAGGGTCACAGATGTGGGTAGAAATTCACTTGGGCTTGCCTAGGGATCTGGGGAGCCCTGCTTGGGACAATTAGAGAATGCACTGAGAGTAGGGACAAATGAAGGCTCTCAAGAGATGGGCTGCTTTGTGCTCACTGGGTGCTCCTTAGGGTACCACTCACTGAACTCTGACAGGACTTCTTTGCCCCACTGTTCCTCTGTAGAGCCATCAAGAAC